TACAGCCATCATCATTTTGTTTTCTCTTGGGTGTCCAGAAGGATTTGTATTTTTTGGTCTTGCTGCAAAGGTTTCAACTGTAATACCTATTATTGTCAAGTTACTACAGATCCATTTATATTTTGTATACTTGCATCTAGCAATTAAGTAAACTTAGCCAGAACAGAGTTTACCTGCCTTTTTATATATACAGTAGTGTACTGTGTCCTGTCCCCAACTGACATGGTGTTCAGACATGTGTCTGTCTTACAGGCTGATCCAGTTCACATGTTTTGCAACCAAGGACCTGTTTCGCCCACGCAGCAATCAGAATCCAACGGCCATGTGCTATATCTAGTTGCGTTGGCGTAGTGCCAGCGTGTGGGTCAGGTCATTTGTTGAAGGCAGGTTAGAATAGAAGCAATTTGTGTGGCAGGCTTTTGACAGTTGTGACAAAATTCCGCGGGGGGGTATTTCCTTTTGATGATCCCTGGAATCGGAATTTTATCAGGAGATTTGTCATCATTTTGTACTGGGGGGGGGGTTGACTTCTATGTTTAAAGACATAGATGCTCACACCACTCTGTACTTGCCTGATTTGCACCCTGAACATTTTGTCTTTTCTAATGCTGTCCCTGTGGCTAATCTCATTTATCCATTGTCCTGCACAACCCACACATCATGTGTTTTGTAGCACAGAGATCTCACTCTGCCTACGTAGAGAGGTGTAGATTGCCACATAATTGTCTTTTAGATGCTACATAGTGGGCTTAACGGAGTTCAGGTGATGGCTTGAAAGCATTTATTTTAAGTGGGGTGCGGTCGTGGTTTTGCATTTGAACCTTGCAGCTGGTATCAAGGTTCCAGCGTTTGTTTCAGACACACCATACAAACTGTTGTCAGAATATCAGAACAGCATTGCCACTGACTCACCAAAAGTAGCTATCGTGCATGCACCATACATGCTGTACCTCCCTGTTCCCTCTGATCTAATGGTATGAAAGTGGCAACTCCATTCCTAATGAGCATTGTGCGTTTGTTTGCCTGCATGTGTCATTGTCTCAATCATCATTAAGTCTTTTATGTAGTTTCTCTTGGGTCAGTGTGGTAAGGTGGTCTTGGCAGGTCTTCAGTTGGTTATTTCCCATTTGTGTTGACATGCTTTATCTGTGACATACAGCACTCCCATGGATGCCCCAGAGAGAAATGGACAAAGTTAAACTTGATAGATCTCAGTTCAGAACTCTAAAATACATAGCTGTTTTTACAGCTATCAGGGATACAAATCTATATCAATTGCTCTCACTAATGCTCAAATCAATGAACTTTAATCTGTCTCCATCTTATTAGTGACCAATATTAATACTTCACCAACCACAAATTTCTTGGTAGTGAAATTTTAGTTTTAGCTAGTTTCAAATCAGTAATTATATCTTTATCAGGAAAATGTAAAAACATGAAGCCCTATAGACAATAAATGCTGCAGATTATTGGCCTGCAGAAATAACCTGTAACATGTGGGTCTGTGTGAGAGGTGGCTTTGCATAGAAAAGATGCTATGTATTTGTCTGTGTTCTTTTTGCCTCCAGGAACTACATGAATGATAGCCTGAGGACAAATGTGTTTGTGAGGTTTCAAGCTGAGACTATTGCCTGTGCCTGCATATACCTCGCTGCCCGAGCTCTGCAGGTAAGGGGGCATGCTGACACTTTTTCCCGCCTTGATGCAAAATGCTTATTTTATTGGTCTGCTTTTCAGTCAAAATGTTGTCATATTAAATTCTCTATAGGTATGCAGTGTAACAACTTCAAATGCTATAGCCTTTGTGCATGTTCTCTACAGATACCGCTGCCATCCAGACCTCATTGGTACCTGCTGTTTGGAGTGAGTGAAGAGGAAATTAAAGACATCTGCATCACCACCCTTAGACTTTACACCAGAAAAAAGGTTGGTTTCTTTTTACTTTTTTCCCCCCATTGATAAGTTGTATAAATGTGTATGCCACTGCTGGTCACAACAAGACATTTATTTATAGCACATTTTCTTGCAGAAAGGCAATTTAAAGTGCTTAATATAATGCACACAAATAGACAAAACCTTAAAAATGCATACAAAATGTGCAGAAAGGAAACTAAATGCATTTAAAGATAAAACATTAAAAGCAACAATTACTTGCCAGTACTAGTAGTAACATACATGAGCAGATGCCTAGCTATGGAAGACTGGTTTATATTTGTACCCCATTTACTTAAGTCTTCCAAAGACAGACGAATAAAGCAACTAGCAGCAGCAGGATAAACCTGCTCCTCATTTGTAGACAGGAGACTGTTTGACAGTTTTTCTTCTGCAGCCCAACTATGAGCAGCTGGACAAGGAGGTGGAACGAAGGAAGGTGTTCTTGGCAGAGGCTAAGCTGAAGGCCAAAGGCCTGAACCCTGACGGTACCCCTGCACTGTCCACGCTAGGTGGCTTCTCTCCTGCTTCCAAGCCATGTTCCCCAAATGTGGTCAAGGTAGAAGAGAAGTCCCCAAACCCCCAGACCCTCAAACAAATTAAGAAGGAGACAGACAACCGGACTCAGGTCAACAAGAGTCCACACAATGGGTAAGAATCTAATAATGGATAATGGGCAGGGTTTTCACACTGCTTAGATGCTCTTTTTTTTTAGATATATGTATATACATGATTTATGCAATGTCAGCTAATTAGGAGGGATGGGCATTTTAATGTAAAGTGCTGTTTGACACTTGCTGGGAACCTATTTGACAAAGATCACAGACACCAGTAAGTCCCTAGTGATCCACAGTGGTGGAAAGCACATTTGACAGGTTTTCAGCAGCATGTTGCTCCAACATTGTCTGAAGAACAGCACTCTGTATTTTCCATTTGCAAGTGCCGTCTCCATGCCTCTCTGGTCAGACACCTGTTCAACACTTGTCAAATGACCGTGCATGTGTGCTGCGCAGTTATCATACAGTTTATCCATTGTACTGTATTAAAATAACCTCATTATTGCAATATTTCCAGGTGCCAGTAAATGCAAGGGGAAAACAGTGGCTCTTTGTTTTTAAAGACAAAACATGGTTGCATAAAATGTTCAATATTTTAACATTTATTGACCGCATATTTGAAAACCATTGCCCATCCCTAATAACTAGCTTCTTTGGCTAACTTAGCTAAGGCAGTAGGCTATGTGTTAGCTACATTAGCAGTTTCTTTACTTGTAAAATAGGCAACAGTCTACTACAGTTCACAAGAATTACTCCCCAACAAAGTTATAGCCTACTTGATGTATTCTTTGTGGAGGCTAACTTCATTGCTGGCTGTAAGTACTATCCTGAGTTGATGGTACAGAGAAATATCCACTGAGCTATTTGATTAGCTTGGCAGTGCTGTCGATCACACAAACACTGACATGACAGGTCATTCCTGTTGCCAGCCTACATTTCATTTTGAAATCAACTCACCTCTTTAATTCCTCAGCATTTAATAATTCAGTGTTTTTACATTAATTCTGATGTCACCTTTTTTATATTAATTTGGCTCTGGCGCTCCAAAATAACTTGGGTGCTGCACCTAAGTTTCCTGTGGTAGAGAAAACTCTGTTCAGTGACAATCATCCTCATTTTTTTCATAATTTTTTTTTTTTTCTTCCCTCCAATCCCTTACTTGTTTTGTCTCCGGGTAAGGTCTAACAAAATGATTTCTTTTCATTGTAGAGCCTGACCTCTTTTTTCTTACTAGGTTGAGGAAAGAGGCGAAGACTGGGAGGAATAGTAGAAGCGGAAGTCGTTCTTGCTCAAGAACACGGTCCCGGTCTAGATCCCGCTCCCCTCGCAGACAGTAAGATCACACAAAATATGTAACTTGAATTATAGAACACCTCACTTAAAGTATCGAATGGATGTTTTAGTGGGTATTGTAGAATAACTAGCTGAATTTTTTTTTTCTACTTCCACAGTTACAACAGCAGACGCAGTCGCTCAGGGACCTACAGCTCTCGCTCACATTCTCGCTCTCACAGTCGCAGCCCATCACCACGGCGACATCAGCCCTCACCCTTTCTTCAACACTTAAAGTCCAAGACCAGCCACCATGGCAACAGCGACTCCAAGCCCAGCGGACACCACAGCAACAGTGGAGGTGGAGGATCTGGTCACAAAAGGAAGCGCTCGCGTTCTCGGTCACGGTCCCGCAGTCCAGTGAAAGCAGACAGGGACCGGGACAGAGAGAGGGAACGGGAGAGAGACAGAGACCGCAACTCCTTTGACCTCTCTTCAAAGAAACACAAACATGAGCGAGGAGGTGGTCATCGAGGAGAGAGGAGGGAGAGGGACAGGTCTCGGTCCTATGACAGAGAGAGAGAGAGGGAACGTAGCCACAAGAGCAAACACCACAGCAGCAGTGGGCACTCAGGACATAGCCGCCACCGGCGCTGAGACATAGACACATAGCAACGGGATGACGGTCACTGAAATGTTTTCACTTATTTTTTTCTTTGTTGGTTTTGGACAGATTTTTGTTGCTAAAGCTGGATTCTGCATTTTCAAAAAGCAGTCTAGTTTTTCTTTTTTTTTTTACAATAGGGGATGCAGACTTTAAAACATTATGGTTGTCAATTTGTTTTTCTTTTGTCTGCATGTGTACATGTTAAATTTTTATTCAATAAATGAGTTTAATGCCACTGAACTGTTGACTCATCACTGAACTGGTCCCTATTGCAATAAAACAAATTGTAACAACGTTGTAACATGAACAAAGACTGTAGGACATTGAATATCAACTTATTAAACAGAGGACGATCTGATGATCAGTGATGGAAGTAGTACTCTGTTCTTTAAAATCTGAGGAAAAAGCAGTAATAAAACCATGCTGTTCAAGAGTCCTGCATTCAAAATGTTAAGTACGAACGTATTGGCATTGAACTATAAAGTACCAAAATCAATAGCATTTACTAGCGGTGAAGTAACTACATTTACTCAAGTAATTAAGTACAATTTTGGGTATCTGTACTTGAACATTTCTATCTTCAACTACATTTTAAAGGCAAATAAATAGTGTACGTTTTACTCCACTATATTTTACGTTACTAGTTTTTCAGAACCAGGTAACTGATCTTGTAAAAATTCACAAGCTCCCAAGCAGTATGTAAAGTACTTTAAATTACAAGCATAAACTAGTTCCACCAGCTGTAACATTAAATGTGATATGTATATATATATATACACACACACACACAATAATGCATCATTGTGTGAATACTTTTAGTACTTTAAGTATGTTTTGATGCTAAAACTACTTTTACTAAGTAATGTTTTAAACACAGGACTTCCACCTTTAACAGTTACACTGTGGTATTGCTACTTTTAAAGGATCTGAGTACGTCTTCCACCACCAAAGCACATTTTATATTCATATTAATGTATATCATGATGCATTACTGTGTACACCACATGTTGCAGCTGGAGAAAGTGGAGCTAATGTTTACTACCTCATATGTTATTTGAATTACTGCCAGGCAACTTGTGACTTTCCCACCAGGGATCAAAGTCTTAACGATTATACAGTATTTTGTTTTACTTATCTGATTCTGAAAAGTAACTGAAGTTATCAAATTCAATTAGTAGAGTACAACATTTGTCTCTAAAATATAGTGAAGTCAAAGTATAAAGTAGCAGAAAATGAAAACAAGTAAAGAACACACATCGAATCTGGACTCAAGTCTAGTTCTTGAGTACATGTACTTGCAAGCACTACTCAAGATCATGGTTCTTGTCTTACTAAAGAATCAGTTATTGTTAGTCAGCAGATGTATATGGTAACATATACACAAGCACATTGAGGCTGCATGTAGCACAGTTGGACAACTTAAATATGCAGAATAAACTGAACCACTAGTTTTGCCTTGAAAAGTGCAGTACACACAGGTTATTGAATCCTGATTATTACTGCATATTTGGTGGCCGCCAGAGGGCGCTGTTGGCCTCACTAAGAGAAGTGCTCTTGGTTTTCAACAGACCTTCTCCCCCTGTATGAAGTTGGCTTTAGATTCTTCTAGCGTCACTACTCGAATTCATTTTAATGGCAAGTAGCTGATCAATTCGAGGAAATCAATAACGTATAACAAAGGTACAAGATTATTTAACTTAACCAGAATTCCACTTGGCCAATTTTAAGACATTTTCCAAATCCATATCAAACATTTGAAAATACCATAGTGGCACTCTATGAGCCAATTCAAGTGATACTCAGAAAAATATGTTCAAGCTATTTAGAGGTGATTTACTTTATGTGCCTTTGGCAAAAAAGATGTACAAGAAACTATTTCAGAGAAAGCCCAATCTTAATGAACTTGACTAGATGACTAGATCAGAACGGCCTCGTGTGCCCAATAGCCATGTCTAAATTAGAGACATGCTGAAATCCAGAAATGAATCACCAGACTGTAAGTGATACTAAAAATACTTCCACAAAGGCTACTTTCATAAGTTATAATGATTCTGGGAAGCACTAGTGAAATTGTTGGCCAACATCCATGGTTTACATCACTGTAGGGATGTTCTCATTGGTGCCGTCATTACCCGCCCTCGCAGGGACGTACAGAGAGTTTCTCAGGGCCGGGGGCTCAAAGGGGGCATCTAACAATACGGATCTAATTTGAACTATTTTCAACATTTATAATAAATACATAAACCACTCACATTCTCCCTGGTAGACACTGTAAACTGTTTTTCACATTCAAGTACAATTTTGAACTATTTGTACTTGAGTATTTCCATGTTCTGCTACTTCATACTTGAGGCCTACTACATTTCAATATTGTATATTTTACTACACTACATGTATTTGATAGTTACTTTTCATAATAAGATGACTAAAACAATACAGTACAAGATTTCTGATCCCCAGTGGGAAATTCACAGGCTGCTCAGCAGTAGCCTATGTAAAAATGTTAATTATAAACAGGCTATAAGGTGATTAGCATTAGCGCCACCTTTACCAGCTGCAACACTTTAGTGTTGAACACAACAATGCATCAATACTTATTACCCAATAATATAATATACATGTATCTGAAACGTGCCATTCTGGATAATGAGTACTTTTACTTTTCAAGTAATATTTTAATACGAACACTTCTGCATTTTAGTTAAGCAACATTTTCAATGCAGAAGTGTTTTTACAATGTAGTAGTACTACCTTTACCTAAGTAAAGGGTCCGAGCGCT